TACGCTTACCAATATACGGAGTATTAAAAAGCCGAAAAAATATGTTTAGATGATAGATACTATGTGAATAAGATCTAATGAATCATGACCAAAAATAGTAAAATGAGACGGAGGGAGTAGATATATTTAGATGAGTAAATTTAGTTTAATATTTCGCCCGTTCCATTAGAAGATTCTCACTTTCCTTTTTAGACGTCCTTTTAGAAGGTTTCCATTTCCATTTTAGGAAACAATTAACAATTTTAAGTGACAAATTGATCATTAAATATTAAAAATTATACATTTATAACATCACAGTTATCAATATTAACTACATTATAATATATACCTATTAAAATTATTTCTCAAAATATACTCAAAGTATTTTATTTAATTATTGCCTAAATAAATGTACCATTTTACTATGGGAAGCTTCCAACTACCGAGATAGTATATCACATTGAAACGTAACTAACATGTAAAAAAATTAAACGTAGCATATACTTCGTATTTGCCAACGAATAATACGAATGGAGTATATATAGATAACTCTTCCGTTCAAAAAAAAAAGAAAATGGTCAAATAAGGCCGTCTACTATTATGAAACAGTCACATAAGGTCATGTACTCAATAAAATGTCATATAAGTATCTCTACTTGTATAAAGCAATCAAATGAGTCCTAACGGCTTATTTAACACCTCCTAATCCCAATTTTCGCTTACATGTCGATTTTTTTGACTTGTATTTCAACCAATCTTAGTTAAATATTCGACATATGCTGTATAATGTATTCTAAAAAGATGGTTAGAAGTACGTTGAAATCGGGATTAAGAAGTGTTAAATAGGTCATTATGACTCATTTGATTGCTTTTTACAAGTAGAAATACTTATATGACACTTTATTGAGTACATGACCTTATGTGACTATTTCATAATAGTATAAGGTCTTATTTCACCCCTTTCTCACAAAAGAAAAATAGATAACTCTTCCGTTCAAAAAAAGAAAAATAGATAACTCTTCTGACACGTTGGTGATAAGTATTGAGCAAACATTATCCTTTTAATAATTCAAGATCCCAAAGTTACACGGGCACAGGGCACTTGACTTGCACTCCCATTTTTTAGAGTGCATGATTGGTCTGAGTATAGAGCTCAACAAAGAGGGTCCATAGTCTATAGTGGATGGGTTTTGCCATCAATCCAAACGTAAAATAATTAAAATATCCCATACTTTGATGGAATGTGAGATAATCATCTCAACCATGCATATGTAATTTAAATAGCGCAAATTTTATATAAAAAGTTTGTTGGGATATTGGGTCGAAAGCTCAACACCCGGTCCAAAGTCCATTAAGAATCCCAGAAGGAAAAATGGACCCAGGAAGACTTTACCCCGAACGGGAAACGGGGAGTCCACGAACGGTCACCCCAATATCCCGAACGCTGAATGGATCACATAGTAGATTTGGGACAGATTGACAAGACACCAGACAGGACCGTCAGTCCGCTGCCCGAACGGGCAGCCTGCAAATGGCAAGATGCATTAAATGCTAGAGTATGGCGTCAGCAAGTGGGAACATGGGCGTTCAAGCAGCTGGATTAACAACCAATCAGCGTGGAGCACCCCATACCCCCACCTACCCCTTTTTAGTATAAATAGGGGCATTGATTACATTGTAACGGGTTAACATTTTGATACTCAAGGCCTAGAATAGCTTTCACTCTTGTTCTTGTATTAGTTACTGTTCTGACGTGTTGTTCGGGAAGTTTCTGTGTAATCAATGAATTACTTAATGCAAGTGGGCTTTTGAGCACAAGATTACTCAGCTTTTATATTTTCTTTTACCTTCAAACTATTTTCCACGTCCTTAATATCCAAAGCGTGTGTTAGACTTTCGGATCTACGGGACTAAACCTCAACAAAGTTATTTTAGCATCATAGACAAATATTATTTCTTTCAAAAATGTAAATTTATGTTGTTAATGACATACTCTCTCCGGTTCCAAAAGATCTTGACACTTTGACTTCACAGTTTTTAAGGAAATAAACATTGTTTGACACTGTTTGGCACTGTTTGGCACAGTGTGACACTGTTTTGTGTAGATTTATTTGCCAAATAAGGCAAATAAGGAAGTGTAAAGATCTTTCTGGTACTGCTAAAAATGGAAAATGTAAAGATCTTTCAGAACCGGATGGAGTAATTTGAAATATTTTAGAATTCACGTAAACATAACTAACATTCTAAACTTACATTGAAAAATAAATAATGTTACACTCAATCTATATAATTGCAACACTTTTAATTTGTTATTTTAAATTATGTAAGTAACCTCATAAATTGACATTTTTGAAAGAAATAATACATGATATGGTGCGAAAATAAATTTTTATATAAAATTTGGGGTATTTAAATTACATGTGCAAGTTTGAAGTGCTTATTTCCCCTTCAAAATTTTAGGTATTTTTATTATTTTCCAATCCAAAAGATTCATATCACCCAAATCACCCGCTCCCGAAAACTCTGTCAAACGGTTTCTAAATTTGATGCGTACAAAGAATCGTCATATTTGAATGAAAATTTCACATTGCCAGTGTAAATTTGAAACCTCAACTCAACTACCGCATGCACTCAATAATTGTTGAGCTGCTTGTGTGGGTACTGAGTGGGTTTTGTATATATACATCTAGTGCAAAGTACCAATTAGCGGATGCAAACTATGCAAACCCACATGGCCACATTTATGGCCGATGACAGGATAGAGATAGACACAAAAGATTAAATTAATGACATTTCTCTATCCTTCTTTTTACGATTTTATGTGTTTTTGGTAAGTTTTTCTCAACAATGTCAACCATAATGTCTACATCTAGACATTATGCTTAACATCGTAGAGAAAAACTTACCAAAAACATATAAGATCGTTCATATAAGGAGAGAAGTATTCTATTTGTTATTTTTTAATTGACTATCTCCAATGTCACGTATGCACCATTCATGTTTTTGCATTGGAGATGCTCTAATGCAAAAATGTGAACACTGCACAATGACATTACAAAGAATACATATAAGTTGATTAATACTCCGTATGAAATAGTGTATTATCTTCATTTTTTGAAGTTTTTCTACACAATTCAAATACAATGATATAGGCATAGATATTACGATTGATATTATCGATAAAGGTAACAAAAATAAAGTAATTCATTTACTCTCCTCATGTCGGGTCGTGGACATCCTTGTATGGGAGATTGTTTAAGATGGTCAGACCTTTTTTTTAAAACAAGATGGTCCGACATGTTAATTTAAGTCCTCTATAGTCTATTGTTTGGATTCCTCACTTAAACAGTACGTGGAAACAGCTCAACGCAAGTACAATTCAGGATAACTATGCTAGGAGCATGTATCCGATCTCTATTAATTTGATTATAGTAATTATTATTCAATTTTACTTTTCTAATTGTCCAGTAAATTCTCAAGTTTCAGAGAGGAGAACATTCATAAGCATAGTTAGGGAATTGTGTTATGTCACGGCTCACCTCAAATTCAAAAGAAAACTTTAAAGTTATGTGTTTGAAACTGAAGTTTGAATGAAGTTTATCTTAATTTTTTTTTTTTTACCAATTTAGTCAAATTTGTCCTTTTGAATTCCGCAAAATAGTTTTGTGTGGGATGGGATGTAAGGGTGTTTTTTGGCAAAAATCAACTGAGTTAGTATTAATTAAATAATGGTTCAAAGAAACTAAAATACAATCGAGAATAAATATCACATCAAACTTAGCAACTAGACATAGGACCCGCAACCTTAATAAGATTATGTGTTACTTGATACATTGATCGTGTCACATGATTAAAAGTAATAATATCACGAAAGGATTTAGCTAACTATCGAATGGCGTCCACCAGCATCCAAAAAGAAGAAGAATCCATTCTGTCATCCTTAATTAACTTAATTATTTGTAGAGCATCCGACTCCAAATGAATATAATCTCACCCCGCATCCTTCAACCAGCTAAGAGCTTCTCGAACCTGAGCTTGAGTACGTGGTTTGTGCAGATTGTTTACTAACAAGTTGACTTAATTTTTTTTTATCTATCCGTATGTATAATTTTTACTAACAAGTTTACTTAATTTTTTTTTATGTACATCATTTTATATATCAATAATTGATCATGAATAATTAAGTTATCAATCATTACTCCAATCCACTAATGATAATAATCAGTCAGTCAAAACAGCTAATACAATTTGCTAATAAATTTCAGCTGGCTGTTAGTACAAAAAAAATCAACTAGCTGTCGTCGTTGGGTGTTAAAAACCCATTATTGAAATTATGGGTAAACTAGACTTAATGAAGAAAATGCTCAAAAAATTTCATCAAAGAATTCTACCGAAAACCGTCCCAAATGGCAACAGTCGGACAGAGCGTCCTATAAAAGGGATGATTTGCACTTTTTAAGTTAGTTTGAGGGCTTATTTGCTACTTTTCCCTATATTACACATTCACTACTACTATTACTATTTTTAAAATATAAACATGCACACACAAATAAATTATGTGAGAATAAAGTAAGATGAATCATACAAATATTACTAAATGAGGGCTTATTTGCTACTTTTCATTATATTATACAAACACTACTATTATTACTATTTTTAAAATATAAACATGCACACACAAATAAATTAATTGAGAATAAAGTAAGATGAATCATACAAATATTACTAAATTTGTTATGAGACGATAAACGTGTGACGGATCAAAAAGGGATCAAAAAGGAAAGACGTGGCAATTTTAACGGGACGGAGAAAGTAATAAAGTTATGTGGGGTTTTAATTAGTAGCCTTTTTAGGAATCCATTTGAAAGCATCAGGACTATAATTATCTGAAGTGTTTACTGCTATTTACTAAACACTTGCCATTTTTGTACCATAATTTTCTGAGGCGTTAATCGTGATTCATACAATTTTTCATTATTGTGCGGTATTACGAGTATAGGCCCAGAGTTTTTTTTTTGAAGCATTTATCGTGGTGACACTATTATTTTAATGAGTGCTGATTTGAGGTAAAAAAAGGCAGATGAAGAAAGTATACAACGGAACATTGACAAAGCCTACAAAGTGGAAGAGAGGTCGTGGCATCCACAGTTGATGAAGAACAAGACAGCCTTGTACACAAGTAAGATCTCCTGAGGAGTGAGGACTGCCCCATATAAACAATAAGGCTGTCATTACTTTTAGAATTATTATTTTCCATACACCAAATTCTACAACCTAAATAAGACACATCACAGCAGCATCTAAAAGACATGCTGCTGCTGAAACTCGGAGAGACGGAGATTGAAGACAACCCCCACCCGGCCTCCTTCCCTTCATACGTTAGCTCTGTATTGTTAACTCCGGAGCAGCCGCTGCAACTTTCACCATCATTGGCACAGCCTCAGTAATCCTCTTATTAGTTCCCAGATTGTCATTACCACCCGCTGCATTTATTTGGCCCTTGTATGCAGAGTTATGTACACCAATCGCTGCTCTGCCGGACGGGTCCAGATTATTGGACCACGACGCATCCCACTCGACTGCTTTTGCTGTACTGCAGGCCACACTAGCTCCTCCAGGAACAGTAAGCCTTGCAGGGTTCTGGCATATAATGTACTCCGTAATTTACATTACTCGATAATTTCATAATAATCTAATTTTGCATCTGCCTCAAAGATAATAGTAGTGTGAAGTTGCGTTACCTGGGGGAAGAACCTCTCAAAGATCATTCTATAGTAGTAACCTTCTTTAGAAGTTGGTGGGTTGTGTGTGAATATATGCTCAGCATTCAGCAACATTTTGTCTGTCACCTATTAGTAGTAAATTCCAAAAAATCCTCAAAACACAAACCCAAGCCAAGCCAACCAAACCAAACCAAATGATACATATTTTGTGACCAACTTCTATAATGATTTTTTCTAGATCACCACAAATTTAAAAATCGCCACTACCTTCAACTTGTTTAAATCAAAGCAAACAAAAAATGAACCCAAAACTTCAACTCCTAGTTTATTCAAGTGTAAATTTAAGATATGTGTATGAAACAAATGACAAATATATGATATGATGGATATATAAGTATATGACTAAAACAATGACAAAAGTAAATTTTAAGATACATTGATAGTGGTTCTTTCGCAGTAATTACCATTTAGTCGGATTTTTCCTCAAGTTCTATTTTAGTACTCCGTATATTTGTTTTTAGCGTTTTTAGCGCAGTCAACAATGCAGTCATAAGTTCTGCAAGTTTATCAAAACCAGCCACTTAAACCATTTTAAGGCCTTAAAAGATCTTCTATGCATGTCTAAACAAAAGAAAAGAGTTATATTCGTAATGTTAATTTTTAATTCTAGGAACACTAATAGACACAATATGACAGAATGATGAGGAATGCTCACATGCTCTTCGGCATGAGCTTTGAGTCCATCTATCCAACTATATCCCACGCCATCGCTAAATTGCTCCTTTTGCCTGTACAGAATATGCTGCAAGCAACAAAGACATCATTTATCAACGGAACAAGAGCTTATCAATCCTCATTATTACAATTGGACTATATGGGTGGAGATTGACTTTGGTCAGACCTTTGGGAGGTAAGGATGATTTTCATCATCAAATGCCCTTCTCAGAATCCACTTCTCAATGCGTCCCTCTTCTGGTTTTATCTGAAACCCAATGAAAAAAGGTTCAAGTCCTGAGAGTCTAAACCATTGCATCCCATACTTGGAGGATTTGGATGAAATTATTAGTACCATCTTCCATTCAGGATCGATGCTCATAGCAACATTGATGAAGTCCTTATCCAAAAAGGGGACCCGTGCTTCTAAGCCCCATGCAGATGTTGATTTGTTTGCTCTTAGACAATCATACTGGTGAAGGGCCTTTATCTGAATGATTATGTTAAAACCCCGGTTCACAATGTCATTTTTAATTTATTAATTAATATAAAAAAAACAGTTGACACCTTTGGTTACCTTGTGGCATGTCTCACGATGGAACTCTTCTTTGTTGGGTGCCTTGTGGAAGTACAAGTAGCCACCAAAAATTTCGTCAGATCCTTCTCCTGATATCACCATCTTAACTCCAAGGGACTTAATCTTGCGTGACATTAGGAACATGGGCGTGCTCGCCCTTATTGTCGTCACGTCATAAGTCTCGACATGGTAGATAACATCCTCAATTGCATCTATACCATCCTGCAACATGCCATAAATCTTTTAATGTGTATACTAATGTTCCAAAATGCACTAGGTTGTTCTGGCTACTAGAGCCTGGTCAAATTTAGGCCCGGTTTGTATTGTTGTGACCTTAAAATCAGAAATGTCTTTTACTCCAAAAGTTCGTTAGGTTCATCATTTCATTTTCATTTACCCCAGTGCCGCAAAGGCTCCCACCTACGGTGGGTTAGGGGGGGGCGGATGTACGCAGTCTTACCCTGTACTAAAGCACAGAGAGACTGTTTCCGGATGACCCATAGTGAAAATCTCGTCCAAAATTGCATGGACTGACTGCTGCTTCATAACAAAGAAGCGCAGACAGTTTAGTGAGCCATTTTGCTTTATTCCATCATAATCTCAAGCCAAAAAATAATGAATCTTTGGCTCCATTCCAAAAGTTCGTTAGGTAAAATGAAAAAAGTATTATAGCTTGAAAACTACTGTTAAAATCTTAATCCACATGACCACATCCACAAGCTATAGAATAAAAGACAAACATGTAAAGATCTAGAGCTACTTAAATCAAATTAACATTTAGAATGAACCTAAAGTCTTAATACTATGCTAAATATATAGCACATATACCTGCACTGTGAAGTGGAACTCATGATGAACGGTTCCCAAATAATCTGCAACTTCTCTCCCTGCTTTTAGATCTGGAGAGCCCTATTTGGTACCCAACACATAAAAAAGGAAAAAGGTAGAATCAAACTCTAAATATCAGCTGAGAAAGATACATATACTAAACTGGAAGAAGGAGACAGACCTCCAGGCCGACACAAAAGGAATGCAGCTGAGCTCCCCATTGTTTAGCTGCTTTGGTTCCAGCTAAGTAGCGAGCTGTGATAGATGCAACCAGGGATGAATCAAGCCCTCCCGATAGAAGAACTCCAAACGGAACATCAGTCATCAATCTCTTTATAACCGCCTGCACAAAATACAATATCCAACTAATTACACTAACAATCATAAATCTTTCTCGAGTAATTGCATCTAAAACAAGATTAGATCTCACTTTTTCAAGGGCACGCCTAAGAACCAAGGGTTCATAAGGAGTTGAAGGAATAGCCTCAGAGAACCAAGGAGGATTGTACCACCTCCTGAAGCCACTAGACTTGCTAGAGTAAAGGTGTCCCGGGGGAAAGACCTCAAAATGCTCACAATCATCATTTAATCCCTTTAACTCAGAAGACACCCAAACGGATCCTAATCAAAACACAACAAAGCAAGTGAAAAAGTTGATCAAAGCCCAAATTAATTTAGGTTTTTTTGTTTGCAAAGTGTATTTATCTTTAGTTTCAGGGGTATATATACCAACCATCAAGTCCCCAGCCAATATAGAGGGAGGTGATCCCAATAGCATCACGGGCAACTAGAAAACTATTGTCTCGGGTGTCCAGTAAAACAAAAGAAAACATCCCATCCAGCATCTCCACAAACTCCTCTCCATGTTCTTCATACTGAACCACACCACCAAATTGACTTTGTCATTTGATCATAAAATTAGTTATTGCCAAAGCCAAGGGTTGATGTATATTATCAAAGTTTAGTCTTTGGTATTCGCAGAGTTCTTTTTCTTTGACTAATAGTAGTATATGATAACAATTTAATTTGATTTGTCATATAAGAAGCTAAGGCTACTCACGAGATGTGCAATGACATCACAGTCGCTATCCGTGAAGAACTTGTGGTTTGGCAAACTCTTCCGCAGTTCCTCATGGTTATAGATCTCTCCATTCACCTAAGTATTGAAACATATCATCATCATTACTGAACATTAAAGAAGTGATATACTAGTATGAGTTTATAAGTTCATGAATTATAGTAGCTAATCTTCTGTCAATACTTCCAGAGATAAATTATATACTAATAAGCTCGGAGCCTGTTGGGTAGCCAACAGTGACTTTTTTTGCTCATAACTAACCGGAAAATTCAGGATGGTGGATTTTATGTTATTTTATTGTTTGCCTAGTAAGTAGATTTAAGTAATTTGTTTGGCTAAAATACTACTCCCTCCGGCCTCCTTCACATACTATTTCAAACGCAGGTAGATAAAGATTAGCGAAAGAAAATATAAAATATTGAGACTATGATGAAAGAGAGTGGAATAGTCTCATGGAAGGAAATTCCAAAAAAGCAGTTGTAATAGTGTATTATTTCAAAATTGAGTGTCATGGAATATTTAGAAATGGGAATCTTTTCGTTAAGGGAGTATTTCTTTTGAACAAATTTCAGCAAATTTAGCCCTGCACAGTCATATCAACAAAATGATATTGTACCTGCACGGGTAGCTCAGTTGGTCGAGTGATGGGAAAATTGGACCAATTGACCGAGGTTCAAAACGCGCAGCGGCAGTGTAGGGTTACGGAACTTGAAATAAGGCTGGACCTTTGATGCGCACGTTTATAAAACTGAGTTAGCGTGATTAAACTCCTCATCATCCTGGGGTCGGGGTGGGGCTCTTGGGCCGGGAGATTGGGCCGGGAGATTGGGCCGGGAGATTGCAGACCAAACAAAATGATATTGTTTGTGGTGGATTTAACTTCGAATGGATCTAACATTTAATGATTGACTAGTAGGGGATGACAGACAAAAGTGTAACATAAAAGTATCACAAAATAAAAGATGTGCTCAAGCTTTAAGTGATTGGACTGTGTCTATGATTGGGTTGATTGACCGACCAAATTATGAATTCTCTATGCGACTATGTCTAATTTACTACAGAACCAAAACTGAAAATAAATTTATGAGTAATGACAGAGATGGTAGGTCTTCAAGAAATTGAGAAATGAGATTATTTGACAAAAAATATCTTGAAAGATGATATGAAATTCTCGATTAATTACTTGAAGAGTAAATGTGGATAGTTTTACCAATTACGATCATCACACTACTCTATTATTATTCATTCAAGCAAGGATTCCGAGTTAACCCACCGTTACAATGATCTTCTTGTCTTCATTGTAGAGAGGCTGATCGCCGGAGGCAGGATCGATGATCGCCAGGCGTTGGTGGGCCAAGTAACAATCCCCGTGCTGAAACAGCCCACTCCAGTCGGGTCCGCGGTGCTTCAACCTGTTTGATTAAAGTAACAACAAACACAATCAAATCCCACAGTTCACGAATCTGAAGAGCTGCGAAAAGACAGTCCAGATTCCAGAAGAGAAATGAAGAGAAATTGCCTGCGGGAGAGCTCGAGGACCCGAACCCGCTTCCGCTGAGAGTCATCAGAGCACCCCAAAACGGCCAAAATTCCACACATTTTGTCTTTCTGTGATGAAAATGAGGATAAGGTTGTACGTACAGATAACTGTACAGATGGATTTATATGTGGATTATCAGAGTGGATAGAAATTACAGGGGAAAAGGTGGAAGAGAGGAATTCAAGGGAGAATCTCAGGAAAGATAGATTCAAAGGAGCGCACGAATTTCGGAGGAGTCACAAATCAAAAGCGTTTTCTGCTCTTCAGTTGAATGGCGATTACAGAGTTATATAGGCCCGCCCAGTTGATGGGAAGAGGGCGATTAACGAACCCCTTTCATGCAGCGTCGTTCCACCGCTTCCTATTTTTGGATAAACTCGGCCAGCACATTCCTAATCACATCAATTATTAATTAATACTTTTGTTCATCTCCCACGTCCCTTTTTTAGCCGCTCGTCTCCCTCTGCAACTTTATGGCCTGTTTGGTTTGGGGTCATTACACATTTACACATGCAGGCCAGAAATGTCATGGGGTAAAAAAGATTTTTTTAACATAGTAATCTCTCATCGCAGTTGTCGGAATTTAAACCCGGGACCTAATCTCTAATAGATAGAAATGTCATGTGGTGAATGTAGTTGAGGATGTATTTACTAGACTTATTCGGTTCAGATAAGATCAAACCAAGTCAAATTAGATTTCGATAACTATAAAATACACAAATATAAGACATCTATCAGATCAGACCAGACCATAATAAACCAAACTCAATTAGACCAATTCAGATTAGATCAGATCAAAAAAATTTAGTCCAAGTAAAAACATCGTGACTAGTAAAGACAAAAAAGGATTGGAGGGGGTCTTGGTCTATGAGAAAAAAATCTTATACTATCGCATAAATATTTATAATGTACGGAGTATAAAACAATAAAAATAGGTTCATGTTTTAAATTTTGACCCAGTAAGATGTCTTGTGTATATGCTATGTATACGCATGTGGGGGTCTCGATCTATAATAAAAAAACTTATATGTGCATAAATATTTATAATGTATGGATTTATTGTCCTTAATATGACTAAATTGATGCTGAAATTCTCAAATAGAAGTAGTTATAATTTTATTCCTTAAATAAGACTATTCTTCCAATTTTACCCTCTTCTAAGCGCGTCGGTTACCTCATCTATGCGAATAAGCCCTCTCTATTTCGCACTTCAACTTCCATTCTCGAAACATCAACCTCTCCTCCCCAAATGAGCTTCTGTTTTCTGCATCATTTCTCCCCAAAGAAATGATGCATGACCATGATGTTAAAATAACTTTTTATACAAAGTTTGGAGTATTTAAATTACACATTAAAGTTTGAGGTGTTTATCTCACATACATTCAAAGTTTAGGTTATTTTATTTATTTCACTCCCATTATGCTAGAACTAATCATGCATATATAGAACACGATGAGATAGTAAATTTAGTACTTCGTTCGTATCAAAATACATGTCCCACTAATTTAGTAACTTTTTACGTAGTTTAAGATAATTTAAAGATTTAATACACATCTTTTAGAAAAGAAGATGATTTTTTGTACTGCAAAAGCGCTATTTATTTTATTAAAGTGTAATATTAACTACTTTTAGGATGAATTTATTTCAAAAAACAAAAATGAGACACTTATTTTATGCAATCAAAAAGGAAAGTGTAACACTTTGTTACGGATGGTCGGGGAGGGGGTAGTTTAGAAGTCATTGGCCATCAAAATGTACCGATGTACGTAATTAAGTTCATTAAAATGTTTAAAATTTAGAAAAATATTGAGCATTTCTGTTTTTTTTTTGCCATTAAATTCATTTTTCACTATATTATTAGGTGTACGAGTTATTTGTTTCCTAAAATAGGACAACCACGATCGACTAATACTCGGAGTTTGTGAATTACGAAAAAGTTTGATGCAATTATCTTTATAAAAAAAATTACTCTATATATGACTATATAGTCATCGCCTTTGTACTAATAGTAATTTTCAAACCCGTGAAAAGTGTTGATGATGTGGATGAGATAATAATGTGTTTGTGATGACTCAACGGATACAGACAGTTCATCTATAATTGCTGGCTGGCCATGTATGTGTGGCCAAAGTTTACAGTTTACCCGTCAATAATTGTTCACAAAAAAATAATGACACATCATCCCTCAAAAGGATGTAAATTGGATTTTAAAAACTGACATATAGAAAGTGGGGTTCTGTTTCTGATACTTGCAGAGGCCCTTTATATGCATTTTTAGTATAGTAACTCTCATCGCAGTTGCCGGGATTCGAACTCGAGACTTATCTTTTATGCCATACTGCCACTTGAGCTAAAAACAAAAACGAGACACTTATTTTATGCAATCAAAAAGGAAAGTGTAACACTTTGTTAGTGAAAATAGGACGATTTTAGTATATGCACCCCCTTTCTACCAGTTGAGCTACGCCCACGGGTCGATAATTGTTCATAATTCACCTAACTTTTTGTTAGTAAATGCTCAATATTTTTGTAAATTTTAAACATTTTAATGAACTTAATTACGTACATCGGTACATTTTAATGGCCAATGACTTCTAAACTACTCCCTCCCCGACCATCCATAACAAAGTGTTACACTTTCCTTTTTGATTGCATAAAATAAGTGTCTCATTTTTATTTTTTTGAAAGAAATGCATCCTAAAAGTAGTTAATATATGCACCCCCTCCCTGACCATACTAAAAATAGGACTTTTTAGTATATGCATCCCTTTCTATAAGTTGAGCTACGTCCACCGGTCGATAATTGTTCATAATTCACTAGAAGACGACGCTTTTGTCATTTTGTTATTTTTGTCCATTTTCCTTTCTCATCTTTATATAATATAAAGGAATTGGGTGGACAATTGGATTTCTCCAATTATTCTCGCCTATTCCCGCATTGAATCATTCCTCAAGTCATAACATTAAATTAAGTTATCTTTATATAATACTATCTACAAAGGAATTAGGTGGAGAAATGGATTTCTCCAATTATTCACGCCTATTTCCGCATTAAATCATTTTTCAAGTCATAACATTAAATTAAGTTATTTATTATATATGGTAAGCAAGGCATAATACTAAAGGAGATGCTTGAATGTGAGATGCATTCTTGACCAACGCATGAGACCTAAATGATCGAGGTACAGTAACTTTTTTTTACTGAAATTGAGCTACAATAACTTAGTATATTAATTTTATAATAATTTAATCAAAATAGGCATACAATTCAATCCGCTACAAGAAAATTGACTTTTTGGGATGAACAATTTTCGACCAACGTTAAATTTACTTGAATTATAATGAAGATATGCGTTTTATGGACCATATATATTGTCGTACCATATAATAGTCAAAAAATTTATTGACTATTTAAGTTCAGCTCGACCTTATTCAATTTCTCACGGTTTCAATTAGTTTTAGTTTGATTTAATTTGATTTGAACGACATACCACTAAATTCAAACAAAATTGCGTATGATTTGATTTCGGTTCAATTTGGTACAATTTGGTTTACTCAAACCGATCCGGTTTGCTGACCCCCTAAAAAACACTCATGAAAGCTCATTCTCTTATAAGATAAAAACTAATGTAAATTTTTCTTAACCTTTTTCTTTATGTATCCAATTTTTTTAACAAATTTGAGTTTTTGCGACTTTACAAGACTTTTAATGTAATTTTTGAATATATAAATTTTATTTGCTAAAAAAAATTCATTATTAACAAGGATCACTTATGTTTATGATCTGTCAAATATCGTAAACGCAACTGAGACGTTACCCGGGCCGAAGGTAGTATACAATATTCATTCAATCTCTTTTTAATTTGAATAATGTGAGATGATTTTTCCCGTGCAACGCACGGGTTCATTGTCTAGTTTCTATAAAGGAATGTGAATGCAAATGTAAACGTTTAACTTGAGAGTCCACTTCATTAGCTCCTACGTGAACCAATGCATGCTTTCGAGTTGGAACACAAAATTTACAAATGTAAGTCCGTGAAATAATGTTTTTTTGAAAACATATACTCCCTCCGTCTCATATTTATCTCCTGAAGTACAAATGTCACACAGATTAAGATAGTGGGAAATGTGTGGTAGAGAGTTGTGCAGAGGAAAGAGAAATGTGTAAGAATGATTGTGAACCACAAATTCTTTGCTAAAAAAGGAAAGAGGAGATAAATTTGGGACAGACCGAAAAGGAAAGTATGAAGATAATTCCGGGACGGAGGGAGTACTATGTACTATCCTGCGTTCCATAAATGTTGCAACAGTTTGACTTTCACGTTTGCCAACGCGCAACTTCGACTGTAATTATATTTATTTACGTATTAGTAAACATTAAAAAAAGTTAATATATTGGAAATTTACATTAATACAAATTTATTAATATTTTATACATAATATTTTTATCATATATATTATTAGAAAATTGTAGTCAAAGTAAGGTGTGTGAATAGTGCAAAAATTCCAATGTTGCAACTTTTATGGAACGGAGGAAGTATGTTGTTGGGTCGGTCGGAATAGCGATCGGCCAGTTTTCGAGAGGGGGAACAGTGGTTCCGGGATAGAGACCGGATTGTTGGAAAAAGGTCCCTCTCCCGAGCCACAATTTTTAGGCCGGGACCAGTCGGTCCTGTCTTTCTTCGTTAGGTTTTGATATTTATCTTCACAAATGCTTATTAGTTTAATGAATTTAAAAATGTTCAAAAATATCTAAATTTTTAAAAATAAAATATGGGATACTCTAAGTTTTAGGTACATAGTTTTCAATCATCCAGACTATATATATCGACCATTTTACTAATAAAATTCCTTTAATTCCCTCTTACCCGCATGCCAAATTGTAAAATAACCAAATGAGCAAAGGTTAAAGGGCTTCTCAAACTTTTTTTAAATGCTTCTCAAATCTCAAACATATTTGTACTTATGAATTAGATGAAGACGACAATATAACTGGCATTTCATACTATGTATATATTTTTAATAAATATATTTTGACTATAATTAGTTCATAATCTAAGATATTCGGCAAATGCATTCAGTATTTTGCACTACAATTTCAACAGCTTTAACATGTTGAATATTTCTCTATATATCCTCGTGTTCATTAACTCTTTCATGATGCATGACTTCCTTATTCTTAAATCACTCAAATTAAACTGACATCATATCGATTATGACCACTCTTAACACCGTGTAGGCGTGTATGATGAGGAATCCCAAGATGTTAAGAAATCATGCATTCTTTATCTTCACGTTAGTTAAACAAATTCAACTATTCTTATTTTGTTGCATTGGAAATCTTGACTTTTCCATTTGTTTGAAGTAATTATGAATTTGGGTCTACTTAATATTATCTCTGCTTTTCTTTTGTACCGTTTTCCGTCTTAGATCAGATCAGACCAAATCAGACTAGATCAGATTTTCATAGGTATAAAACACACAAACACCAAACATTTAACTGACCAAACTAGTTCAAACCAGATCAGACCAGATCAAACCAACAAATTTCGGTCCAAACGAA